TATAATGTAAGCCAGATCCTAATTCAGATCATACTGAAGATTATCTCACGCCTATAACTGACTTTAATGGGCAGTTATAGACTTTAATGTTTAATGTTTAACTTTAATGTTTCTAAGAATAACATGCATGTATTGTTTATTACTTGCAAATTCTGAATACCTTTGAAGAATTAGAACTGACTTTTGCTTTCCCCAAAACAATGGAATACTACCCATAAAATGCATGTTAATTTTAAGGATCAAAGTTAATCTTAAGAGCAAACTATACATTACACACAAATGTGGATAACAAATCTCCTAACCTTATTTGAAGGAAGGAAGCAAGGAAGGAAAACAACTGAAGGGACCGGCAGGGATGAGAAGGAAGTGCTTAACCCTTTAGCTGCCAACCATCTCACCCCAAGGGATTTCTGATGTGTGTTTCTCAGGGTAGGTCAGGGAAAGAGTTAAGCACTCAATTTCTTTCCTCACCTCTTAGTTCTCCACTTAAAACTGTTTTTAAAACAAAAAAAGCACTTGGTGCTTGTTGGTATGTAACATGTAGTTAGCCACATTTCACAGATATAAAGGTTATCTGGCTTCTACATTAAAAAACCACACACAAACCCTTTACAGAAAATACCAGGTCATTCATCCTCATTTGCATAATTAAATTTATGCAGTGTTAAAATACAGGAGGTGTTATGCAAACATGAAAAACAATAACACTTGTTTTGTAGAAAGCAACACATGAGAAATGCATAAGAAAGAAGCAGCAGCAGTTTGAATGAGAGCTTAGCATTACCAAGTTGTTTTCAGATTAAGGGAGATAATTTCTTGTCCTTTGTGCCTGTAAGATAAAGTACACATGCAAATTAAATTGTTGATTTACTTCATAAAAGTTACTGGAAAGCATGTTAGAATAAAGGTTCACTGAATAATCATATCTATAACACATTTTACTGGACATACTATTTTATAGTTCTTGTGATATAGTGCGCGGAGAAGTTCAAAGAAAAATACATTTTAATTTTTTTACTGTGTCAGCACAATCACATCTTCTGAGCTGGGGAATGCTTTGGGGCTCACCTTTGCACTATTTATCTAAATGTGCTTTGTGAGTGTTTAATACACAGTTCTGAATTTGCCATAGAAAATTCTTCCAGAAAAATAGCTTTACATTGAGCTAGCATGTCAAGTCATCTTGCTAATCTGGAAAGGTGTGGGCCTACAACCAGATGGGTGACCACATGTGGAATTTCAGCAGGGCATTGGACTTGGCTTTACAGGGCTCTTCCAACTATTCTGCTATTCTAATTTCCAACAATAAATAGATCCTATAAATTAACACTAACTGGGTTTAATGGTCTGGCTCATATGTCCCATTAGCTCAGGTTTACGTTCTGCATAGACGAGACTCTGCAAACCTGAGAAAATTGTTATGCTTTTGAATCCCCTCTTCCAAGCTCTTTCTTCCATGCAGCTGTGAGGAGGACTTAATCAGCACTTAAATGCAATATAAATTAGTAATAATCCTTCTCTCTTTTATTCTCATGCTAGAATTTGACAAAAAACTATCCATGCGAAAGCCAGGATATTCTCATTTAAGGATGAGCTCTGCACAGCCTGAGAAACAACCACCCTATCAATACCATCAAGTCAACAGAAGCTATTATTTGTGAATGTGCATAACTGAGTCTTGATGTCTTATTTTAAAATGACAAAGATTTGGAAGAAGGCAGGGCCGTCTTAACAGCATTATGGGCCCCGGGCAAAGCAGTGTACTGGGGCCCCTACGACAACTACTGTTAATTTTGGAAGTTTTCCAATTTTCCAAGGGTTAACATACACAGATTAGCATGGGGCCCATGGGGCAAGTGCCCATCAGGCCCATGCGTTAAGACGGCCCTGGAAGAAGGTGATTTACAGCTGAAAAATAGCAAAGAAAATAGTTGTCACTGACTATAGACTCCTGATGTAACTTACTGTAAACACATTGACTTATCCTTTTTCATACACCCCAATTCTCTGCTACAAATCCAAAATATTTTTTGGAACTATGTGAGAGGAAAACTTGCAGGGGGTGAGGATTAAAGTTGAGAAACCATTCTTTCTCCTTCCAACACCCCTCCCCCACCCCCACCCCCACCCCCACCCATGCAAGCTTTCTTCCTGCAGTGCTCCAAAAGTATATTCACCCATGGGGTGAAAATCTATGTGTGCATGTGAGTGCTTTCCATTTTAAAAATAGGCATCAGAACTCATTTATATGTTTACTTGTAAAAATGCTTGCAGTTAAACATATTATAGTTAGGGAAATGAAGCAGATATTCAACATGTATTGAACAATTTTTTTTTAGTACTGTATTGGAGATCACTACTTTGCTCTGGGGACTGCAGGTGGCGCAGTGGTTTAAACTGCTGTGCTGCTGGGCTGGTTGATCGAAAGGTCGCTGGTTCAAATCTGCACAATGGAGTGAGTTCCTGTTGCTCCGTCCCAGCTCCTGCCAACCTCGCAGTTCGAAAGCACGCAAATGCAAGTTGATAAAAAGGCCCACTTCAGTGGGCAGGTAACAGCGTTCCGTGCACTTCGGTGTTTAGTCATGCCGGCCACATGACCACGGAGACTGTCTGTGGACAAACGCTGGCTCCCTCGGCTAGGAAACGGGGATGAGCACTGCCCCCTAGAGTCAGGCATGACTGGACGTAACGTCAAGGGGAAACCTTTATCTTTATCTTTACCTTTACTTTGCTCTGAGAGCACAGAGATAGGGACATACTTAATGAGATTGTGGACCTCCTGTATTATGCCAGGAAAAAAAATGACAGCAACTGTTGACACTGCCAAAGTGAAATTGAACCATAGTACAATTGAAGAAGTCATTTAATTCTTTCTTCTATGTTGTTTTCCTAACTGAACCATCCCTCCTATTTTCCAAGCTACTACAGTACTTCACCCCACTCCCAAGCAAAGTTTTGAGTGGGTAATTTACCTCTAGAAGAAAGACATAGTGGAAGCTTAATTTCACCTCTTAAGTGCTTAATCATGATCTGCATCTCATTATCACCAGCTGTTTTTAACTTTTAAAAAGTGAGAGAACTGATCACAGATCTCCTGCAGTTTCATCTAGTTGCACCCTTAGAACAGCATGCATGCTTGCCTGCCATTCTCACATACAGAGACATTTGACAAGCCTATTTGTGTAAGTATAGAGTATCCCTTCCATTAAGATGAAGGATTTATTATTCTCAAGCTTTCTCCTCAATAGACAGAGATACCTCTTTAAGACTGAGTGAGTCTGTACTATAATGCATGTGTAGGATAAGCATCCCAGGAAATCATAGCACAGTACAGTCCAAAAGAATACTTCACTGTACTAAACCTTGGCCAAGATACACAGAAATTCTGTACTTACTCCTCTCTTTCCCCTCAGGTGATCTGACGGCCGAACTAGAAATTCATTGAATTCCCTTTTTCCTACTGTGCTTGAGACTAGCTATGCTTCTTTCCTTAAAAAAGGCAGACATAGATGACCCCAGTCCAAATCAGGTCTATTGGAAGGTTAACCTTATTTCTATATTTACCCCCCTTTCCATTTTTTTTAAAGATATAATCTTAAAATGACTTGACATGGTAATAGCTCCTTGCAGACATTTGTTGGATGGTTGTGAATGTTATGATCCTTATCCTTTTCAGCAAAACATCTGTATCTAAAATATATCCACATAATGGAAAAAACTCCACCTGTGGAATTTTCTGATCACAGCTGCTAAAGCGTGATCAGAAAAAGGCTGGCAACCTAGCGGTAGTCTGAACAGTTTCATGTGTCACAGATGAGTGATGAAATGGCAGCTCAGAGGCCATTTCTTTGAAGTGTGTAGCGCAAGCCAGGTGATGATCTGTAATCTCACCACTTCTGTGATAGCTCAGAGTATTCTCACTAACAGTCACACATATTGACACAGGAGCACACAAGGGTTCTCCCCAGCTGTCTTTCAGTCACAGTGAGGCCACTGAAAAGGACCATCTGTTCTTCCAAAACAACAAAAACAATAAAAACTTCTGCTACACACCTTCTTTCTTCAGAAACATGGGCAGTGTTGCCTAGTTGCAGTCACACACAGTCCTTACGGTGTACAATAAGCCACTGCTGAAAATGAGCAGATAAAGACTACCTACTGATAAGACATTATACTAATGGTTTGCTTTCCTTACTCAGAGGGCTGCTTCATACAGGCAATAATTACCCTTAGTGTAGGAAAAACATCTGTAAATTCAGATGTACACCACTGTGTGTGAAGGCGCACCTTTCCATTCCCCCCATTGGCTATCACTTCTTAAAATGCATCTCTTGAAATAATCAGGTATGCACACAGCACTAGCCTATTCAGTGAACAACGCTTACGTTTTTATTGGACTTTAAGCCATAATCACCATATGGTGTCCAATGCAGCTGGTGCATCCCACCAATAGATATTTGCCTGGTCACCACAAAGCGGCAATGCATGCATGGCTCAGGGCAAAACAGACACGACTTTATATGTGTGTCTAGCATCTATGTCATCTTTTAATGTTTACTCCAAAAGGGATGCAGTGTCCCAGTCCAGATCTTAAAAGCCCTGCATCTCCTTTAGATTTTTTAAAACACACGCGCACACACACACACATCTGCTATGGTCACCCTCCTACCTTTGCCGCTAAGCTTCGTGTTGGGGGGGAGGGGGGCTAGTGACGCCTGTGTCAACCGGGCTCCTCAGCCATTGCAGCTCGTGTTAGGAGTATGACAGAAGCTGTCCATGGCGCTGTTGGAGTTCAGCACCATGGATAGAGCCCACAGAGCCTGCAAAGGACGATCTGCAAGGGGTAAGCAGCCCCGCCGCTGACACAGGATCCCCAGCGACCCTTCGAGCAGGAGCACAGCTCTGGGAGACCACGAACACTGCATGCGCTGGACCTGCACGCTGCCTTTGTCGACTCACCCGTCGCAGCAGCACCGACAGCAGCCCTCGGCGGCTCGCCATCACCGATGCTCCACGACGAAGCGCATGGTGGTGCCGTCGAAGGAGGGCGGCGCGATGATCCTGGGGCCCAGCGGCTGCGAGGTGATGCTGATGAGCGGCGCCTTTCCCTCGCCGGGAGCAGCTGGCCGCGGCGGCGGCTGCTGCGGCGGCGGCTGGGTATTGCACGTGGGCACGTAATAAGGACTGTCTGCCCCAGGGCTGGACGACGCGACGGCGGCGCTGGCGCTCAGCTCGCTGCCGGGCTGCGGGGCGAGCTGGCCCTGCAAGGTGCTGGCGGGCAAGACGGCTGGCAGGAAGCCTGGGTAGAACATGTAGGCTGCGGCCGGGGCGCTGTAGGGTCCCGCCGTCGTGCCCAGTGCCAGCGGGGACATGGGCAGCGTAATGGGGGCCACGGCCGGCGGCGGCGCGGGCGGCTGGGCGGGCAAGGGCACCTCCACGTACTGCCCCGTCTCGGGGTCGAAGAGGCGCCGCTTCTGTGGCGGCGGCTGCTGCACTGGCGTGTCCACCACGTAGCACTGGCCTGTGCTTAGGTCCAGCAGCACTTTGCGCTGCGTCTGGGGCGGCGGGAAGGCGGCCTGCTCGGCGGCCGGGGCCGGCATGGGAGGGGAGAAGCACAGCAGAGGCGCGGGCTGGGCAGCGCCTGTCAGGGCGGCGGCCGCCGCTGCTGCGAGGGAGAAAGCCTGAGGGAAGATTTGCGCGGGAGTCATTTCGAGCTGAGGCGCCGCGGCCGTCGCCGGGGTGTGCGCGGGAGCGGGGGCGGGAGCGGGAGGCAGAGGCTGCGGCTGCGGGTCGGGTTGAGCTTGAGGCTGAGGCTGAGGCTGAGGCTGAGGTGGGGGCGGCGGGGCGGCGGCAGCGGTAGGGCCGCTGCTTCCTTCCTTAGATTGCTGTTGCCCCTTGTCCGGATTGGAGGCCGCCTGGTTCCTGCCCGTGCCGTAGGGCTGGTGGTTGCACAGAGCAGCCGCAGCTGAGGTGGCGGAAACTAGGCCTTGGCGGCGGCCTCCGTCTCCAAACGTGGCCGTCCCCGGCTGCTCCACCGACGACACTTTGAGAGGGATGGCCAAATAGTTTCCACAGTCAGGAGCCACCGGTTTGGACCCCTTGTCATGCTCGGCAAGGCAGCCCTGCCTGTGCCCGAAGAGTTTGATGGAGCGAGGCTTCGCCTGGCCTTTGAGGCCTCTTGGTGGTGAAGGCTCTGGAAGTTGCTGCTTGGCCTTCTGGGCCTGGGTGTTAAAGGTGAATGTACCTCGGGGGACCACAGGGGCTCTGCCCTTCTCTGCAGTTGCTGCCGTAAGTGCTGATGACTCTCCTCGGAAACCTGGGCCTCGCTGCTGCTCTCTAGCCAGTGCCAAACTCTCAAAGGCAGCTGTCTTGGCTGAGACCTTCTCTATGTTCTTGGTTGGATTGGCAACCCTGCTGTGGGGTTGGCGCTCTGCAGCAGGCTTGCTGTTGGCAAAACTGCTGGGACATGATGTTAATTCCACACTCTGATCTTCGTCCTGTTCCTCAGTCTTTACACCTAACCCTGACTCTTCCCTGGTATTGGTCATGGTTCGTTCTTCACTGGCAATGAGGGATAGGACATGGCTATCGGTTATGGGTAGTGGGTCACTCTTGCGCTTCCACTCATTCTTATTGAAGCTGTAGAGCTCCTCCATGCTTCTGACGGCTGCAGTAAGTTTCTGCAGTGCCTGATGGTTCACTGTGAATGGTGCCTTGCTCACCTCTTCCCGTGGAGGTTCTTCTTCTTCAGACGCCACCAATGTTCCTCCCTTGCTGCTTTTCTCCATCGTTGGCTGAGGTTGTGGTGGTGGTTGTGCATGCTGTCTCCAGGGCACAGATGTTTTGGAAACTATCTTCAGCACAGCAGGCTGGTGAGGGTCACTTTTGTTAGGAGCTATGGTAGCCACAGGCAGTCTCCCTGAGGTTCTATGCACCAGAATTGTTCCCTCTTGGTTGGAAGGCAACATCTTGCCTGTGCTGCTTGCTTTTGCACCCATCTCAGGAGTCTTGCTGGCCTTCTTGTCCTCTTTGCTGTTGCTTACTGCCTGACAGGTTATCACCACAGGAGATAGAGACCTGGGAATACCTGCTGTCACCAGCTGCTTGGGTTTCTGTTCAGATATTCCCTGATCAGAGTTGACACTGCCTCTGTCACTGTTATCTCCTGACTCATGGCTGTAGTTGCTCTTGATCAGTTTCCTGACATCTCTTACCTGATGGATGGGTCCTTGGACCTTAGATTTATTTTCTCTTACATCACGTACCAAAAATTGAGGCACTTTATCCACAGCTTCCCCTTTGGAAGATTTTTGAAGGGAACTTCTGGTGTCCTCAATTGTCTTGAAAAAGTTTGGGACACTTCCAGCTATCTTTGGTGTGAGAAGCTTAGCAATATTGAAAGGGTGATCTTTGTTCTGCTGTACACTGCCCAAGCTGATCTTAATTTCAGGAGGTTTGGGCTTTATCATTGTGGTGGCAATTGCTGTCTGAGCTGCTGCACAGGTCGCTGTAGAATATTTTGTCACCTGTGTGTTGGATTGTTTTTCTTTGGTTGTTTGTTGAATATTTGGGACAAAGAGACGAGACATTTTAGTTGATTTGCTGGCTGAGATTTCTCCCAAATCTGCCTTCCAGTCACCTTTGGACAAAAATTTCAGTTTTCCTACTGGAACTTTTTCCTCCTTTTTCTCTGCATCTTTTTCTTTCCATGTTCTAAATGCACTATTCTGGCTACGGAGAAAAGTTGCCTTGAGTGTCTCAGAAGCACTCTTTTTTATTTTACATGCCTCTTCTAAAAATGTTTCAGAAAGGGATCGATTCAAACTAATATGTCCCTCCCGGGGAGTAGATGGCTTGGAAGTAGGTGATTTGTTATCCAAAACCTCCCCTAAATCATCTGTTGTTACAATAGTGTAATCAGAACTGCCTTCTGAATATCTAGAATTCTGTCTCTGCAAACCCCCATCCCTTACCTTCTCTTTGGAGGTGCTATCTACCTCTTTAGAAGATAAGGAATTGGACATACCAGAATGTGTGGTGTCGGTGATCTCTCCCCTTTCCATTTTGAACTCATGCTCCAATTGCATCTTCTTTGAGATAACATTTTTGAGGAGACTAGATGCAAATTTTGATTTCTTCTGTGTGCCTTCCATGGTTTCTGCAGCCAGTCCAGTTTGTTTGCAAGCTTCATTGCCCAGCTCCTTTGGCAATGTCTCCGTAATTTCATCTGCGCAACTTGATCCAACAGCAGCATTTTCAGAAGGTTTAGCAGGTCTGGGGATACCCGTATTAATATTGCTGCTGAAATTCAAAGTCTCCAACAAAGTAACAACCCGAGAGCCTGATTGGATCCGTTTTTCAAAGCAAGCTGGTGTTTCCACATGCGTTATTTCTCCATCAAGTTTGCTGACAACAAACTCTAATGCTTTAGTCTGTGACTTATTGGAGTGGATGTAGAACTGGTCATTGGATGCCTTTGTCCCAGTGCTTCTGTTCCATCCAGTGGATGCAGTGCTGCTTTTGAAAAGATTCTGCTCTGCTTTCTGCCCAAGGCTGCCACATTTTAAATCCAAATACGTTGACCATCGGTTGATTCCTAGGTTGTGATCCGAAAGAGATGTGGAAGACTCACTGGAGCTCAAGTTCAGGGTATCAAAGTAGGGATAAGCTAAGCTCCGGAATGCCCTTGCTGTCAGGCTTCTTACTTCTTTATCTGCATCATCCAACTCACTTACCACACTAGAGGCACCACTTGAATAGCCTCCTAATTCTCTTGCTCTTATGGCTCCACATTTTGTTTGCAAACGTGCAGGAACTGCAATAAATTTTTTTGGATAGTCATGGAACACATCTTGTTTTAAATTTGAATTTCGTTCATGAGATGTGGAGACACAGAGGCTCATGTCGCCTTCATGCTTGGCAGCATAAATAATGTTTTGCTTTTCGTGCTGGTTGCTAGGCTCATTTATAGCCCTGGAAGTTGGTTTGATTGATAGGAGTATCTGGCCTGCAGAATTCTCACTCATGTTGCTGAGGTTCTTGGACTGACTTTCTTCCGAGCTGGCGCATTTGTCTGTACTAGGGGTATCATTTTCAGAATTAATGCTGACTATCTCTGTGCTGCTGGTATTATCAATACTGTCTGTTTGATTATTGGGATCACTAGTGGTTGTGCTGAGATAACAGCTATTGTCCTCTTCTGTCTGTGTGTCGGCAAGAGTCTCTTCACTCCCAAAAGAAGCATAATCCACAAAGGAATATATCACATTGTTATCCTCAAAGTCCCACCGAGAAGCTAATCCGTAGTCAAAATCCATGTCATGGTCCACTTCGCTGAGTTGGATTTCATGGGTTGTAATATAATGTGCTTCATCATTATTGTTAATGTTATTTTCACTGGTGTAGCTCTTTTGTGACTGCAGTAGTTGTGAAACATGCCTGCATCCTCCTCTCTGGTTACTCAGACAGATTGCCTTGCAGTCTGCATCATCATCTTCATCACTGTCATATCCAAATGAGGAAGAGGAGGTTTTCCCCCCTGTTCCCAAGTCATCCATTTTTGGAAAGCTGGCTGTCTTTTGTACTGGTGAAGGACAAGAGGATGAGGATGATTCAGTGCAGCCATTTGTGTAAAGCTGAATGTTTGAGATACTAGGAGACAAAGTATGCTCAGACCCTTCTGAGTTGGTGCCAATGATGGTTCCCCCTGCCTCATCAGCTTTCATCCCCATGGGTGAAGGAGTGCCTTCCATTTTAGATTTATAATCCTGGGATTCTTGATCTGCAGATCTGCCTGCCAGCATATTGTTAGCCAATCTGTTAACCTCACTGATCTCGCACGGTCCATTTTTAGGTCTGATAAAGGCCACTTTACTTCCATTCCCTGCCAGAGTCAGTTTTACAGTTTGGGGACTCTTTCCCCTCCCTCCAGGAAAATCATAAATCTCCACATATTTTGATTCTTTGGAGGAGGATGTTGATGGCTCTTGAGAATGGTGCTTCATCATTTGGCTGCAGCTTTCTCCAGCTTTCCCTTTTTGAATAACGATCTGCTCAGCAGGCGATTTTGTAAGCACTTCCATGCCGATCACTTTTCAACTTGACTGAAGGGAACAAAGAGATTTGGACTCAAAGCTGGGAGGCACACATGCGTCTCCAGTGATGTGGATTCCAACTTCACTCCCTGTAGTTTAGTGGTAGACCCTGGAGAGACTCCCGATAGTGCTGGGGTAGTAGTAGGGTGAATGGCTGCTGTTGTCTCTGCGGAGATAGGGTGGGGGGGTAGCTGCTGCTTCTGCTGCCAGTGTCTTATTCCAGAGCTATGAAGTACAGTTGTTGGTTTGGCACGAAGAACTGTCAGTCTGAATGCCATTGGTAACAGAAGTAGCAGCATTAGCAGCATCTGCAGCTCAACTTCCCCAGACATCCCGAAATGAAGAGAAAGCATATGGAAATTCTTATACTTCTAGCTATGATGGGGGGAGGGTGGTCCTGTTCATCTGCGCATTATATAGTAATTTTTAAAAAGCTATTAGTCTTTTGGAAAGTAGGAAAACTGCAATGAAAAAGAGGGAGGGTAGGATGGAAATCCCATATAGGTGCTAGAAGGAATACTACACACACACACACACACACACACACACACCCTGTACCTAGATAATATTTGCACGGTCAAGAACATAATGTTGAGGTAAGCCCTATTAAGACATTGAAGATATCAAATGACTTGTATTTTAATTATAAACTTTTTTTTAAAAAAAGCTTAGTTTTTCAGTTCATGCTCTATTTACACTCTTGGACTTAGAGAAATTAGTTTGGTTTGAATTTTATGCAAAATATTCAAAGAGTTTTCTCTTATCCAGTTTTTTTTTAAAAATGTAACCACATATCAAAATTCTTGATTCCCTCAAACACTCTTGAAACAGACTTTTTCTAGACATCTTCACACAACATGTGAAATAGATGAATTTCAGTAATTTTAAATTGCACGAGCTCTTTTATAAAGCTGTCAGACCCATAAACTGAGTTAAAATTTTACTCAAACCATGTCAGCCACAATTAATCACATTTAAGTCCTATTAGATTCAAAGGAACTTAAGCTTCTCTAACTATATGTTGGATACTGGCCATCTGTTACACTGAAATCTAACCACATTTCAGGACAGGAGATGATAATCTTGGGTAACGAATCATTTACCTTCTCTGTGACTATTGTAGAGTTGATCCACAAAAAAAAGCAACTCCTTGTAGAAGAAAATAATTTCCTACGACTCATCAGTTGTAAAACAGATGGGAAGACAAGTTGAAGAGTAGCCTGGGAAAATGTTAAACTGGTTTGGATTTTCGTAGCCACTTGCTCAGAGTAAGAAACTGTAGAGCATTTTTGTAAGATCAGTGTAGCTTGCTAGGTCAAAACCATTAACTATACATAGACTGTGTGTCATTTCAGCCGATTGAATAAAGTACTATTTTAAACTATCGCATTTGTACATAACAAAAATAAACGTGTTCAGCCATCACTCATAGCAAGAATCCCAACCCCTTTAATAAAAATTTCCTTCCCATCTTTTTAGGTTCAAATGTTTAAGAAAGCAACCTGTTACTGAGGACAGACTAGAAGGAATATACAAGCAATTTAAATTATGTGAGTTGTTCAAAAATTATGAATTAAGCAAATATTTGCATGGGAAATTTGGTTTGGAAAAAAAATCTTCATTTATATGATCTGTATTTGTTCAAAGCAAATTCTGTAAGGTAATATTTGCCAGTATTAAAATTAACAAAACTAGACCATAAAGGTATGTAATTTATTTTCATTTATTTCAATTTCCATTTTTCTATATTTATTTATTTACATGTATTTATAGGCCGCCTATAATTGCCGAGGCCTTCCTAGGTGGCTTACAATGCATAAAACATATTAACAGAGTAAAACACATTAAAGCCAATTACAACATAACGAATTAAACATCTGCAAAAGTAATTAAAAAGGGCCACAGCATGCAGGCTAAATGTTAAAAAAAATTCTAAAAATATATATGCAATGTTGTGCCCCAACTGTTATTCAAAAATATTAAAATAAACATTACAATAATTTTTAAACTAGATTGAACAGACAGGAAAGCAGCAGTGAAACACCATTAAACTGTTAACACAGGAGGAAAAAAAATAAATGTTTGGTGGAATAAAACAATTTTCATGGACTTTCTGAAAACAGGAAGAGAGTTAAACCTCTCCAGGGAGAGCAGTTATGGTATTAGCACCAAAAAGTCCTTGACCTTCAGGTTCAACTACCTAATATTTATTTTTTTATTTGGTTGGAAAGTTGAATCAAACCTAGAAGGGCATTTTGAATTTCCAGTGGAGACAGGCCAGGTTTCTGAAGTTAGTCCTGAGGCTCAACTAGATTAATTTAAATGAGATTTCAAATCAATTATCCAATTGGTTTGGCTTGAAGAGAGTTCTTTGAACAAGCATTTTTTAATCATTGTGAAAAGGAATACCATCAGTAAATGTGAAGTGGGAAGGAGCTGTATTATTCATGGTGTATATTCTCTTTTAAGTTTGAGGTCTCAGATTTTGAACAGATTCATTTTTGTTTAAGATACCTCCAGTAGAATGGTTTGGATAGACATGTGGTTAAATCCTGAAGACTGGACTGTGAAATCAAGTGAAGATTGACAATACCGCATAGGATGAAACTGTCTTGACTTAAGTATTGTTGTTACACTTATATTCCATCTTTTTCCTTTCATTCCACTTAAGACAGCTTACATAGTTTTCCTCCTCCTCTCAAAATTATCCTCACAACTCTAATTGTTGGGCTCACAGTCACCCAGTTGGCTCCATGGCTGAGTGGGGACTAGAACCTAGATCTCCTGAGTCCCACTCTCAACCACTACACCTCACTGGCTTTCGTATGTTTCTTATGTATCTTTAGTATAGAAAGAAGACAATTGGTACAGCATGAAAATAAATTGAATGATATAAAGCAAAAAGAGTAAAATATGTGCTGATTTTTAGTCATTCCTTCTTCATTTCTGATAAATGAAAAGAACTCAGATGAGGTTCTCCAGTTGCAGAATATTCAAAATACTTCAAGTGTCGTAAAACAATGTGCTTTGTATTAAATTGCCAATTCTTAATATAGTGGTACCTGGTAATTTGAAAGTAATGGCTGTTCAAAAAGTTTTCTCTGATCACGGAATAAGACACAATGTGAAATTCTGATTAGAATGAAGACAGCATTTCTAGGAAATGGAATGCTCAGGTTATATTACAACTTGGATATTTAATCAGAATGAGGCACTGAGCCAGTCATACAGCTTTCATAACGTAACCTACCATACAGGATACCCAAATTTGGGAATCAGTTTGAATCATGAATCACTTAACAGGCCATCTGTGTCTAAGATGGTGTGAGTGAGATTTTAGTCCCTGGGGAGGAGAAAGGAAAGCATCACAATTTCACACTTTAGCTTCTGTTAGTAAGAGCTATTCCAAATGTCCAGGTTAGGAAAATGTAGCAGGAGAAAGACATTCTGTAGAGAAGAAATTATTATGAAGGGCATCATTTGAAAGGACAAGTCTGCTTTAAATGATTTTCTTGCAAAATCTTCCTTAATTAGAAGTTGACACCTCTCAATCCTCTACTAAAATACAAAACATTTACAGCACAAGCCTATGTACTTTCAGATGGAAAATAAGTCTTAAAACTCCCAACACCCTCCAGCAAGACTGGAAATTGTAGTGTTTTTTTTCTGTCTAAACATCTAACCATGCATAGATTTGTATTTGAAATTACGTTAACCCTATAGCATGTGGGGGGTTTTAAAAAAAATGTTTATGGATCACCCATGAACCAGTAGCTGATAGTGCCAAGAATTCAGGTAGCTTGTGCAAAACAGCCCTCTAGTGTTGAAAAATTATACAAATTTATTGCAATTTTCTGTGGGTTGCACTTCTTCAAATGCAGACCCTTTTTGTGTGCTACTATGGTCAGTGATATAGAGTATATTTTATGTACAATGGTCGGAACAAGTATTGGCTAATGATGCCAACATCTCAAAGAAGAGATTCAGCCAACAACTAATGTTGACAATTGCCAGAAATTAGGAATCAAGTGGATCTAAGCTACTTAAGAGCTATCATGTTCCTGACAAGCTGAATATTTGCTACTTAAGTCTGAGATGTGACTGCCCTTCAAACAACTTATTATTGATTCCCATCATTTGACAACTACAAATGACCATTTAGAAAGAGAAAATGATTGCATAACTATAGTTTTCTGGTTTGCAAACACTAGATTACTGGTTTGCAAATACCTGTAGCCTGATGTCAAAGTAATTAGTATTTCTTCCAAGACAGGTTGACTTGCCACATGGTAGGATCAAGTCAAAGAAATGAGGTTGTATGAAGTAATCCAGTATGTGCAACAACATTGCTTCTTGTTTAAGGCAATGGGAACTGAGTTTAGTGATGATTGACTACTATATCATGGCTGAAATTAGCTTGAGGATATAACTATGAAAAGGGGCCATGATTTTTCAAATTAAAATTGTTTTGTTTAAAATAATGCAAGAAGTCTCAGTTGATGTAAAGCTAGACTCAAATAGACAAATGCAGGTGAGCAAAGACGAGTACTTGGAGGTTTCAGAGATATACTTCCCAGGAGATAATGTTTTAACAGGGTGACAACACATCAGCATGGATGCAGAGTTTCCAAACTGCAGTCACCTAGCCCTGAGCAATTTCAGGAGGAATACCCAAAGCAAAGACAAGTACTGGACAAGAAGTGCTATCTGGTGACTTACATTCTTCCCTTTGAAGGATACACTAGTTAGGAACCTCTGAACATGTACATTAATGCATGATCAAGTTGCATGGATAAAATTCAGTTTGGCGTATGTATTTAAATTCATTTTTTCAACTGGACAGTTGCTACAGCAAGAGCAACTTTTAGAATGGCCCCAAATATTTTATTCAGACTTTAGCTCATTGGATCAGCTTCCTGATAACCTGTGTTCCATTTTCATGGAATACATAGAATACATTCTAATTTCATGGAATACATAGGAGGATT